CACATCCCCCCCACACACACTTAAATACACACACACACACACACACACACACACACACACACATACTTAACACACACACACACACACACACACCCACACACACACACACCATCCCCCCCACACACACAAAGGCCAATGGAGGATTTAGGGGGGGTTCAGGGGGTTCCTGACACCACCTTCGATATCTGAAAAAAATCATACCAATGATCCCCTCTTGAAATTAGAATTTTGGCAAGCTGAGTCATAGTTCCTAAAGGTACTATAAAATACCAAAATTATTCGGGTCCCTTCACCGGGTCCCAAACCCCAGGCTCCGCATCCGCTGACACCACCACCCCTTTCAAATAATCCTGGATTCGCCCCTGTAAATAGTGTGTTGCCGAAGAAGTATGGTCTTTGGATTGGCATATTTATATATCGATACTAACTGACAAAAATCTCATAACAGTTATTTCAATCGTTTTCTATCTAAAGCCGATTACAGTGTTATTCAATGGATTATCATTTCAGATGTCAACCAAATTTCACCAAATCATGACACATGTCAGTATTACTCATAAACAGCTTGATATGTGACTATTCTTAGGTTTTTACGATAAGCGTATCTGCAGTGTCATAATAGGTAAAAGGATGGCTTACTTAGTTAATGTTAGAGGGTCCCACTGGGGAGACAGTGATCACAGTTCACGAGAAATAAAATCATCAATTTACAGATCTCAGTAAATAAAACTGCATTCATATCTCACTGATAATGCGAGTCGAAAATCCTGAAAGTCACGAATAACTGGATATAATGACTTTGTTTCACGAAGGGCGAAGAATGAAAAGGCACATTTACGTCGGAATAGGGTGCTTCTCGGATCACGCTCAATAAAATGAATGTTTCAGGCATCTAGCTAAATAAAAAAGTGGCTTTCACGGGTAAAGAAAATACCCAATGAGACCCTCATGTTAGTCTGTGATGTCATGTTGAAAAATAAAACAAGTTCTCCATTATTCTCCTGATGTTTTGATAATTGTATTGTTTGAATGTCACGGGGCTGATTATTATCTCATTGTCGTATCACGTCAGTAGATAAACCTGATTTCAGAGATTTGATATCGTTGTCAGCGCCACACGTATCTCGCTGGCATGTCTGTAATAACTAAAAATAAAATCCTTACATACCTAATGGAGAAGGTACGCAGGGCGTTTAGTGGCTTCTTATTGGTTTATATTTATGTGTCGCTTTTATTTCTTTTAAAAAAATTAACTGGTTATTTAAGTCGCTTTTTTTGAGAATATCTTATCATTTTATAATTGAACTGGTGTTATATCAGTGGCGGATTTGGGGGGGAGGGGTCAGGGGGGTCCTAGCTGAATCATAGTTCTAAACCGTAAAAATGGCATGTTTTCCCCTTTAAAACTCCAAAAGTTTTCGGGCCGCGAACCCCACGTCAAAGGGGGAGGGGGGGTGAGGGCCGGCTTCTCATCTGCGGACCACCCACACCCTTCAAATAATCCTGATTCCGCCCCTTCAGTCACATAATTGACCTAAATAAAGTCTGTCTCTCAATGGTTAGCATTTTTTAAAATTAAAACCACGACTGTTCCAGAAGACAAGAATAGCACTGCATATAAAAAAGATTAAAAGTTCGGTTTAGATTTAACTGTCTCTGTGCCAATTTTTTATCTGATAATTTTGTCAGTGGACTTTCCATGAAGAAAAGGGAAAAACGTTGTTGTACCTGTCTATTGATGAAAAATAATTTCACAGTCCATCTTTTCTTAAATTGGCAAACAGTGTGATTCAATATAATGTTGAATGGTTTCAAAATTACATTAGGTGCTCTATAGAATTGTCTCACTAAAGGCACGTTCAATGAAGTTTTTCATATCGCTCAGTCGGTACGTGGACGGGCGATCGCCCACTGTGACCAAGGCGACTCTTTCAGACACTCCACTACGAGTTTGCTCTCTCAACAGCGACACCTGACTGCGTCCTTTCATGTAAAGGTTCTGGCCCTGTTGGAGGACGCTGCCGTAGATATTTTCATCGTTCTGGGTTTTCCAAGGGTGTCTCCCATTCTCCAAATATGATTATCAACACCATTGCTGGAGAACACAAATATGTCATACATGTATATAATGCGTTTAGATTTTTTTATGAATATGCATTTTTTATCAAATTTAAGACCAATATATTTCTACAACTTGGTTTTATAACCACCAGCGAAGTGGAATATTTGACATAAGCAGTGGCGGATTTAGAGGGGATCAGGCGCGTCCTGCCCCTCCATTCGGTTCCTGAAAATTATATCACATCAATATCCCCCTCTTGAAATTAGAATTGTGTTGAAGGGCACCGTTTGCCTACAAAAACAGGAAGGATTTTGGGACCCTTGAGCAAGATTTTAAACATATCTTAAAATATGTATATTAAAACCACAGACGCAGCGAAATATTTAACATAACTACATTTTGTACCCACCTTGACTTAATCCCGCGTCTGTTATTAGCGTTGCAAAGACCGTGCCATCATCTAAATACATTTGTCTGATGTTCTGTGGTAGACAACAGATCACAAGCCGACACTCAGATGGTAACTTGTGACCCTCCTTAAGATGGACGATCTCTGGACAGAAGTTCTTTCTGAACATAGCCTTGAGTTTGTCAGCTGTCTCAGAACTCAAGACACCGACGAATGTTCTCTGTATGTTTTCTTCGGGATGAGGAATAGCCAACAGATCATCCTCCTGTAAAAGCAATTGACCAATTTCACAAATTTTTCTGCAATACATGAAATGCATGTCTTAATCGATAGATGCTAGTGTTAAAACGAGGTAAAACGATGAATATGCGAAAAAAGCGAATAAGAGACTACAGGTATCGCATTACACAGGTAAGTCTTGTGTTTATTTATTGTATTTATATAACCAACAGTAATGGTGGACAGTCTAATCATTACACATGGTCTCCTGTTGACTGGAGTAGTGAAGTCGTGCCGTGCTCTCGACAAATCCGGTAGGAGCACCTGCAAATAATGTGTAATAAATATAATAACAGCCAAATGGGCTTTCCAATTATACCTAGACCACAACATTACAAACTCTGACATTACAAGGTCAATGAGACTGCAACGATGATATTCATGTACGACGCAGTAGTGCGAAAAACCCTCCTGTAAATACTGCATTTGACCTTTTGGGTTTTTTTAATTTAAATTTTGATTTCATTTTTGATTAATACATGTAAGTTAAAACACCCTTATACAATTTCATACTTTATTGAAAACTTACAGCGGAGTTAACAGCAATTATCACCAAGCGTTGAAGCTTTTGTTTTAGCCATATATCTGAAATATTGGATTTATAATATCATTATTCAATATACTAATAATTTTTTCGATGAAAATACAGACTAAAACTATTCTTAGATGCATGTATTCAAACTACACAATTGTATAGGTGATAATTATTTAAGGACACTGTTAGCCTTTGCCAACTCCTAATTTACTGCCTTACATTTATACATTCATTTGGATAACAAATAAATCCTCAGTTTTCGGTGACTTAATTAATTAACATTAACACACGTGTTATCTTACGGGTGACGTCATGATTGTCATTTTGGGGTAAAAATTTAAAAACTGCTTTTTCAAATTACTCCTTTACCTTCTTAACGCCAATTTAGTACTCCAAAACTTCTTCGGCAATTTTTCTCAAAATTCTTGATTCAGATTTTATCGTTGATAACGCAAATTAATGCCTTTTTAAAGGAACATATGTAATTAGGGGCTGATAACTCCATCGAAAAGCATTTTAAATAAAATGACGGAACCGGAATGTAGCCCATTCACTTGTGGTCAACTATCTCAATTTTCATGATAAAATCTTGTTTAAGGATTTACCAGTAGTTACGCCCCATACCGATTGCTAACACACCTCAAAACAGAGGTGTTTAATAGACAATAAAAGCTTTGAGTTGCCTTAGCTTAAACAATGCAACAAGAAATATAAATGCCGATATTTTACATTATCGAGGGATTTTTTGTTTTAAATCAGCACAAAGATAAAAGCATTATTGAATAATAAAGGCTTAATGACCAACACTATTTACACAATGCACGCTGCTAGAATACATGTAGCCTGATACAATACATACATGTACCTCGACGTCGCCAATAGACGAAGCAAATTACAGCTCCACAAGCCACTGCTCCCCAACAACACCCCGGTATTGCTGCGACGTAGGTATGCAGCTGAAACAAAAACCCGCCATGGGCGAACGCACCATAAGTCGACGTATCGATCTCGCCAGATCTGGCCCCAGTCGCTTCTCTCGCCTGCCCCGTACCAGGTCTGCCATCTTGCCGGTCTTCCATAGTCGTGTCGATGTATATAGTTTCCTATAAACTGTACTCAACTGTAGTACTGTTCTTGGGTCTTGTGAAATGCTGCTAAAATTCCAAAATTTCTGCTGTCAGTTTCTTTTTCATTGTCTGTCTTCTGCAGGGACTTTTTGCACGTCATACGTTGATTGTAGGCAATGAGATTTTATGTGCAGTCGATTTATCTACAGTGTAACCTTGTCGACCTACGGGGCACGAGTATCGAAAATGTTGTTTGCTCACACAAAGACAATAGAGAACTGCCCTAGTTATTTCATATCAGCTCTCTCATATTCGTTTAATACCCCCCCCCCATCCGTTCTGTATTTGGGGTAAGTCAACAACACTCATTAGCTATTTCAGTAAATAAACGATATAGATCGCTGATGTTTTCGCCACTATAAGAGACGGTAGAATAGAGAAACCTTAATAATAAACAATGACTAGGAAACGAAAAAAACACCAGCTCATTTCAGACTCTGGGATTTTTTTCTTTGTGATCTCTTCAAGTTCAAATAAAGAGGAATAACACAAAATAAAGATCGGACTCATTCTCACATTAGTCTTTGTTCACACTGATTGAAATCTGATACAGTAAGTGTTAAATGTCGTATATATCTCACTCATACCAAAGCTGGTGTTTGTCTCTCAGTGTTTCCCGTCTGTCAAAATGACATTAGTGTATTAAGAGACAAGGAAAGTGCTGAATATAAAAAAAATACAATAAATGCCTTGCCTCCCTCATTTAAGACTTACCAGTTTTTTTCCTTTTGTTTATGCTGTAATTTAGGAAGTTTATACGTGTAAAAACATATCCCATAACTTTATATAGTGAAGTACAATTTAAAAACATAGTGATTTAACAAGTAACTCTTAACTCTTCTTTTCACTTTTGCCTGTTTTGTCTTATTCCGTTTAAAATCTTATTTAAACCCTAAAATGATAAACTATACTTTCCGTTTTCTGTGTATTATACATGTATATTGTGCATATAAATGTTCTTCTGCTTCTTCTTCTTCTTATTATTATTATATAGCGTTTATTTGCAACTCAAGGTAGTTAGATCGTTCAGTTGTGTGAAATATATATAGATACTACGATGCGTAGTATACATATAAGAACAGTAAGAGAACCGATCATTACATAGTGGTGCAATCTCGCCTCCCTGGGGAGGATACAGCCTAGCGGCCGTATGAGATGGTAAATGTAAACAAATGAACAGTATTCCCTTTGCCAGACCACGAACTTTACCCCTGCTTCAACCCCTAGATGCTGTGTGNCTTATATAGTGTTTATTTGCAACTCATGGTAGTTAGATCGTTCAGTTGTGTGAAATACATATAGATACTACGATGCGTGGTATATAAGAACAGTAAGAGAACCGATCATTACATAGTGGTGCAATCTCGCCTCCCTGGGGAGGATACAGCCTGGCGGCCGTATGAGATGGTAAATGTAAACAAATGAATATTATTCCCTTTGCCAGACCACGAACTTTACCCATGCGTCTACCCCTAGATGCTGAGTGCCGAGCGGGGAGATAGCAGGTGCCGTTTATGAAAGACTAGTAAGACTCGGGACGGGATCGAACCCTCGAATTCTAAAATCCGTGAGTATTTTGTTAGCTTTCAATAGCGTATGCGTACTATCTGTGCTTCAAGATTTTTTATGGATTTTGTCCCAATAAGGAGGGACAACCCAGTGTTATGGACACTTAGATGGGGGCTTCGATTGATTCTATATCACATACTGTATCATTCATTTCGGGGTAAGATAGCATGGTATGCTGTATAACACATTTTCTTCTTTCATCTTTTCGTTTTTGTGGATGGGGGGGGGGCGCAACGTGATCAACATTTTTTTTTTTTTTATGTGGCAAACATTTTCAAGTCTTCGCAGGTGTATTTGATCAAATAAAAGTCCCCCTTCTCCCCCCCCCCCCACCCCACACAAATTTTTCTGGTACATGTGTTCGCAATATAAGCTAGTTTACTTAGGGGACATATAATAAATGCATGCATGGACCATCACAATGTAAGAAACGCCCACAAAAAAATCACTGGGTTATGCATATGAGTATTGTAATTCTTTAAAAAGAATATACTGTATATAGATTGTATAAAACAGCTGAAATAGCTTGCTGTCAGCACTACACCCACGCTGATTGAAATAGCTTGCTATAACTTATATTACTTAGGTTCACTAATTTTAATTAAAATGTTCATTGAACAGTTACATGTACCTGTACATGGGTGTTCTCGCTTGTAAAATGTACTCTTGGCCATTGAATGCGGCCCTGAACTTGCACAGATTTAATTCTGTCTTTAACGTGATCATCACTTGCTGTTGTTCAAAGAACAGTGCAGTGGTCTTAATGTGTAATCCAAATAGAGTTTGTATCAACTTATCTTGGACTTACTCGGTGCAATAGGTTGACGTGGTGATTAAATAAAACACACTGTGATGCATTCGGGTGGGTCACCCTGTGTTTTTGGAATGTATTGGGAACAATATTTCTCACTGGCATCTTTTCATGTATTGATTGCAGCATGCCCCTTTCTTGTAAAATGTGGTCTTGAAGATTATTTAATAAATTAAACAACAACATGGATGTGGTCACTTGTGAAATGTACTCATGAAGACCTTTTAATAGAGTGCACGTTATCTGGCTCTGAACTTGTTTACGCGACACAGTTTTAGTTTTGTCCTAAATAGTGATCATCACATGTTGAAGTGGAAATGACAATACAGAGATATCTTAAAGCGTAATCAAACTGGACTTTGAAACTGTTGTACATGACTTTCGTGATAACCTGTCTTCACATTGTTTTACCTGTTTTACAGTGGTCTGTCGGGTATGTCATAGTGCTCTTCGAGAAACACAGGCTAGCACATGGACAATGTTTCCTCATGTTACTTTCCCAATACTAACAATTATATTTAACGTATGTTATCAAAGACCGAAGCTGACTTCAGATACACATATTATAGATTATTGCCATATATGTGGTCTGTTCGTCCGCATAACTCTTTATTTACGTTTTGGCCGCGAATTGCCACCTTTATTGTAGAAGAGTGGGGACCAGACAACTGATGCTTGACATGACATTTGTGAATAAGGTCGTCAAAGAACAGCTTTTCCCTGTCCCAAATCATCTGGCAATTGACTAAAATTGGTTGAACCTGAACAGACATAAAACCGCAATTTATTGACGCATGCAGGAGGCAAATAGCATCCATTATACAATGTATCAGCCCCCAGCTCTGATTGTAAATCGGTATTCTGAAAGGTTTTAAACAAAAATATTGACATATGTAAATACCTTAGCAATCAATTAGTTTGATGTAACATAAATGTGTTCATAATAATCTACCAACATCTAATCTTATGATATTCAATTATTTTTTTCAATATAAGCCATCTTAACAAAGACTGGATAATTAAAGTTGCGGTGATTACTTAAAATAACAAAGTGTAAGATATTGAACTTTAAATACATAAACCACTCCAAATTCAACTTGTGAAAGGGCAAGTTATACCTTTGATCATTTTGTGTGGGTTAAGGACTTTGTAATTTGCAAGGTTATTATGACAAATTATGTGTCAGGAAAGGATGATTAAATGAAATCCCGTTAAGTAGGAGCGTTTGAGGGGGAGCCTAGCTAGGGGTACATTTAAAGGAGACTTTGTTCCACTTACTTGGATCAACATGTTTAGAATGTCCTAAAAAGAATGAATAGGAGGGTACAAAAAGATATTATAAACAGCTGAATGAATAGGAAGGTACAAAAAGGTACTATAAACAGCTGATGCAGAATGGATAAGGGAGGCAACTTCGGAGATTGTCAGTCACAGCGCATTCCATTTAGCTGCAAGACATTGATATTAACACGTGTCTGTTAAGCTTCTTTTCAACACTTTTTGCACTGTGAAGCAACTAATATACAGTGCACATATACGTGACTATATATATACTGTTGTCATAATATGATATTATAATAATATCTCCGTACATCACTTTATAAAAAGTAAACTGATGGTCCTCACTGTAAGTTTTGTGCTGGAAAGAGTTCCAAAACACCGTATGCAGAATAAACCAAGTTTTGCACATAATG